AATATTTAAAAAAAAAAAAAAAAAAAAAAAAATATATATATATATATATATATATATATATATACACACACACACATACATACACACACACACACATTTTTTTCACTGAATATTCTCAATTTAACTGATGGATTTGGTTTTAAATAAGTGGTAGATAAGGCAATATTTAACAGTATTAAATGTTTAATTTTCACATTCCTTCTGCCTGGGTGGAACACACACTGTAAAAAAGCAACTGATGATTTTAATCAGCAATTATAGCTCATTTTAAGAACATGTCAATTACAAAAAATGTGCTGGAGACAATGATTTCTGTAACAAAATATATTTGTTTTTTTTACAATGCTGTGAAACTGATCTGTCCCTCACAGATTTGATTTGCGTTTTTTTAACCCCCATTTCAGATTAAATTAATGTTAATATGAGAAAGATAACCCCACAAAACAACATACAAAAATGCAATTTTTATATAGAAGAAAAGCTTCACAAACCGACCTGGCCCTATGTTGACAAGTATTTGCCCTCTACTTGAGGTTGATCACGGTCTGTTTGAGTAGCCATACACAGGGTGATTGACGGCACTATGACCCACCTCCTGGCTCTGATTGGTCATTTCTAGTTAGCACTGGGAGAAGGTAGAGGAGCTGGATTTTGTTCTCAGATTATCCATCTCATACGACAGTGACAAAAAATATATAAAAGTTACATATTTCAGCTTTAAGTGTGAGAAAATAAAAACAGAAGAAATCTGAAAGAGGGCAAATATCCTTTCACAGCACAGTGTAATACTAATACATAATATAAATCCGTATTAGCTCATCTATGTTACCTATGTAACATCTGTTATACTCATATCTATGTTGTTAGCTGTGTGATCTCTGACTCAGGAGAGTCCCGCTCTTTGTCAGATCTGATCCTCCTCTCAGCCGCTGTGGGCCAGACCGGCAGCAAACTCCAGCAGCGTGCGCGTCGGCCTCCCGGACATGCCCTTCCTGAGGTAGGGAACTTCATCTTTGTTGCTCATCACTCCAGCAATGTCCAGGTGAGCCCAGTGAGGAGCCGTGACGAACTCCCTGAGGAAGGCGGCAGCTGTGCAGGCACCACCAGAACTGCATAGGATAAACAGAGAGCTGGGTCAGGAGGCCGCCAGGCCACTTTCACCCATATGTCTGTTAATGACTTTGTTTTTATTAACCAGATAATAAAAAGGAAGGAAGAAAGAACAGAATGAAAGAGTAAAGCAATAAGAGGACAGAAGGAAAGAGCTCAAAGACTGCAAGCAAAAAGAAATCACAAAAGGAAAGATGAAAGGAAAGAAGGAAGAAGGAGTGAGGAGTAAAACAAAAAAGAAAAAAGAAGAGTCAAGCAAAAAAGTAAGAAATGAAGAGATGGGATTCAATGTAAAGCCGGTCGGGTAAAACAGGATCTGAGTGTAGCAGCGGTCTGCTACGTACCGGCTGTATTTGCCGATGTTGTTGAGGTCGGCCAGCTGGCTGTCAGTGACCTGGTTGGTGTAATGTTGGAACAGAGGCATCCTCCAAACTCTGTCACCTGTCACAACACTTGCCTACACACACACAGAGCATGAGCCAACAGAGAAGCTGGTACAGTAGTGAGTGTTGCTGTGCTTCCTGTCTACCTGCTGCAGCTGCTCCCACAGCCAGTCTGAGTTGGTAAACACTCCTGTCGCCGCCGAGCCCAGAGCTACATCCATGGCGCCTGCAACAAGAGGTCCGACACCGTCTACCATCATTTCTCTACAGCGCTTCCATTCAGTTAATACCATAATAATAACACGTTTAACTTTAACAGAGCAGTAGTGGTAAATCCTGCAACCTGATCTCACCTGTTAGCGTAGCAACGTTAACGATAGCTCTGGGGTTAAAGGTGTGTCCATAACAGAGAGCGTCAGCCAGGATCAGTCTGCCCTCTGCGTCTGTGTTATCCACCTTCATGAAACAAAAACCTCATTAGTAAATACACGCACGCGCGCACGCACGCACACACACACGCACACACACACACACACACACACACACACAGTCAGGGAGCTGTTTGGACCAATCATACGTCTTCATTTACCTGGATTGTCTTCCCGTTCTTGGCCGTGACAACATCGCCTGGTTTGGTGGCCTTCCCGCTGGGCATGTTCTCACACAGCGGAGCCAGACCTGCTCCGAGCACAAACATGAAGGCTGTTGGTCTGGGCACAATAAAAATGGAGGCACTGGCAGAAAGGAAGAAGAAGCAGCAGCCCACCAACGATGTTCACCGGGAGCTTCAGAGCCGCTGCGGCAACGATGGAGGCGCAAACTGTGGCGGCTCCGCCCATATCGGCTCGCATCGCGTCCATGGATTGAGACGGCTTTAGAGAGATGCCACCGCTGAAAACACACACACCACACACAGGGGTCAGAGGGGGGCATAGCTCACACACAGTCTACCAACAATGAGACGACATGATGATAATCAATATGAGTTGTGGGTGTGTTTGTGATGAACCTGTCGAACGTGATGCCTTTCCCCACTAGCAGCAGCGGCGGCTGCTGGCTGTCTGCTGAGCCTCTGTAGTGCAGCTCCAGGAAGACAGGGGGCTCCTCTGAGCCCCGGGCCACGCTGAGAAACGCTCCCATCTGCTGCTCCTCCATCCAGGCCTTTGATCTGCAGGTAAAATACACAAACATCAATAAGTAATAATAATAAATCTGGTTATGTGCTAAGTAAGAACTACTTTTCTGTCTCTGCAATCATCAATAATCATAATCTCACAAGAGAAACACTGGGAATATTTTACCACTAACATCAGCATATTCTCAGTCATACAGCAGCAAACAGTTGGTAACAAATAAACACAATAAATAAGAAGTTACAAAGTAAAAATAAACAGTTCATAAATAAGTAAAGTAACCAAGTCAATACCTGTAAGTAAGCAAATCATATTAATATCTCAATCATTAAAGTTAAGATAGTTGAGTAAATCAATAACTTCAAATGCAGTTACATAAGCAAGGAAAGAAAAAACAGTTTGGCAAATCTAATTTATAAGTGGGAAAACCAGAAAAAATACAAGCAATTTCATAAATAAGACAATAAATGAAGAATGAGGGTATCTAATGAGTAAGCAAGAAAATAAAGTACATAAATAAGCAAATGTGCAAATAGTGTAGCATTTCTATATATCTATACAGCATATATATATATATATATATATATATATA